CATCATAATCAAACAGATACGATTTGTTCCATTTCCAGCGGGTGACTCGACCATTAAAGTTTGGACACTTGATCCCCAAACGGGGGCACTAAATCCGAACTTCAAATTACTCTCAGCCATTTCGTCTAGTCATCTCGCTCCCAGTACAGTCCCCACGCAATCTTCGGAAGATCTCGGTGCAGTACTTACACTGGCTGCATACGGATCAACCCTCTACTCAGGCTACCAAGATGGCGTAATCAAAATCTGGGACCTTGATACCTTTACCTGTATTAGAACCCTCTTCCACCGAGGATCTACTGATCAGCCACACTCCAGCTCCAAAGACTCTGATGATGTGCTCACTTTGACGGTGCTTGACAATGGAGAGTTGTTTTCGGGTTGTTCAAGTGGTGTAATAATTGTAAGTCTAAGAAATATGCTTTAGTCATGCACTGGAATATAGCTACTCGGCTGATGATGACTCATATACGAAACTTGCCAATGGGATCTGTAGAGATGGGACTCGTCTTTTCAAAGGGTGTTGAAGTGGCAATCGCATCAAGGAAGTGCACTGGCTTCTTGTTTCGTTCTTCATCAAGGTAAGAGGCTTTTATTAACAGGTGGTAGCGACAACTGTATCAAGGTTAGGGTGGTTTCCCCTATTGTCTCATTGTCTCCTCCTAGTCACCATAATTAACCTGTTCACCACAGATTTGGGATGCATACCACACCGAGGCCAGCGTGCCCAGACTAGTAACAGATGCTCCAGAAATCAAGGATCAAGCGGGAACAGCGCTAGCTTTCCAGGGTAAAGCTTCTTTCTAATTGTGAACAAGTGTCTCATAATGTCAAATAACCTCGTTGATTTACATAAGCCCTGAATTGCCTTTTTTTTTCTCCTGGCGCACTAGATCGGATGTTCAGACATCTCAGCCAGTTTGTTTCATACAGGTCCATTAGCAATGAGGAACATCGTGAAGAATGTAGACAAGCAGCCTTGTACCTTAAGACGACATTGGTTAAATTGGGGTTAGCAATCTCATGAATCAAACTTTCGTTTTTGATGTGACTCCACATCAACAAAAAAAGTAAGAAGCACAAACTGATTCACCTAAGTTGGTTTACCGCTCTCAAACCATAATGGATGTGTCGATTTCCCCTGCCCCAACATACATGTAAAATATACAACAGTGCGGACGCGCGACTGGTGAGTACTTTGAGAACCGCCAACTCATGCTCGAATGCTGCATGTTGATATACTGGATTTCGTTTCTACATGGGACGGCAGTTACCAGGTGACCCAGGACGTAACCCGCTAGTGTTAGCAACATTCAAGGGGAGATCTTCGACCGAATCGCCCACATCCTCAACTCGTAGGCGGCGAGTTTTATACTATGGACATTATGATGTAGTCCAAGCTGGTGACGCCAAGGACTGGACCGCGCCAGCATTTGTCATGACCGGTCAGAATGGTTGGCTCTATGGTCGAGGTGTTACAGACAATAAGGTACTTGACTCTTCTTTCTTCTGACGCTATTCACGTTCTATACACTCACTAGTCACCCCATTTTTGTTGTTGTTTACTTTTCTCTTCAAAAAAAACAGGGCCCTACCTTGGCAGTTGCTTACGCAGTTACCACTTTGCTAGAGCAGAGATCTTTGGACGTCGACGTAGTCATGCTGGTAGAAGGCGAAGAAGAAGCCGGCAGTGCGGGCTTCCAGAAAGCTGTCAAGGAGCATAAAGTCAGTCTCACTAACGCTTGGTTATAGTATGGCCACTCACCAGGAACACCTCTACGAATCCCTGACCTCAGGAACTCGTTGGTCACATTGATGTCGTGCTGGTCAGGTAAATATCCCATTTTTCTCATCCGTGGCCTTGTCATCCCTAAGTCACTGTTGAACATCATCTCATTGTTTAGTAATTCGTACTGGCTGGATGATGAAACACCCTGTATGACCTATGGATTGAGAGGTGTTATCCATGCCACAGTCAAGGTTTGTGTCAAGACCTTGGCCTCCTCTGAACCCTTTGTCCTCCCAACTAATTCAGACTCTGTGGCCACTGGTTGGTAGGTGACCAGTGCACAGCCAGACTTACATTCGGGTATGCATGGCGGTGCTGTGCATGAGCCGGTATTGGACCTAGTTCGAATCCTGGGGGACCTGGTTGGTAAAGACGGCAAGATTCGTTTGGATGGTTTTTACGAGGGTGTCAGGTCCATTGACGCAGAGGAGCAGAAGAATTATGATCGGATTCTAGAACATATCTCCAAGTAACACATGCTCCTCGCTTTCTTATCTCGAGAAGACGGCTCTTTTAACCAATGCTGACTGGTCCCGTTCATCCATGCTCTTACAGTTTCGCGAGTTCTGAGCTACTCAAACATTCCCCGATTACCAGTATTCGGGAAAACCTGATTGCCAAGTATGTTTCGCAATGCTTCAACTTGACGCCTCTTTGATTCACGTACACCATTCATTTTCGTATATTTCTGAGTGATTGATGTGCGCTTTTTGTTCTTACACAGGTGGCGACAGCCGTCGTTGAGCATTCACAAAATTGACGTAACGGGGCCAGCACATTCCACCGTCATACCCGCATCCGCTCAATCAGCCGTATCCATTCGAATCGTGCCCGATCAATCGCTGGAGGACATCAGCCGTTCTTTGGTATCCTTCTTGGAGGAGGCTTTCAAGCCTTTGAATTCTAGTAATACCCTTGAGGTACCAACTTTTTAGGGCACACTTTTCCCATGAAGAAAAAAGTTAATTGAGGCGATTTTTATTTGCTCTGCGAAATCAAATCTCTGTAGGTCAAGATCAATCAGACCGCAGATTGGTGGTTAGGTCATCCACAGGACTTACATTCCGTGGCTCTGGCTGAATGTGTAGAAGAAGAATGGGGAATCAAACCGCTATGGATCAGGGAGGGTGGATCGATACCTAGCATCCCGTTTCTGGAACAAGAATGTGGGTCATTCTATCTGTTCTGGGCTTACAGACAAACAAAATTTCGGAGCTCATTTGTTTCTCATTCTGCTACGCTAGTCAACGCTAAAGCTATCCACCTTCCAATGGGTTCGGCCTCCGATTCTGCCCATTTGCCTAACGAGCGAATCAAGATGGTAAACCTTGAAGTCAGTCCATCTGCCCTTTCCTTGCCTCCCACACACAAAAATGCAAAAACACCCCTTTTTTTTTGTTCGTGTCTGACCTTACCTCAATCATCTCCCCCCTTCTTTCACGTATAAATATTCTAGAAAGGAAACAATGTTGTTGCAAATTTCTTGAAAAAATTGGCACTGATATGATCCTGGAAATAACATAATATCAACAACCTTTCTTAAACCCTTCTTGTGATTACGTGTTTCTTTTTTTTGTAAGAAGGGTTGCCATACTGTTATAAAACTTTTCTTTTTCTTGTGGATATTGAGCATCTTGATGTATGAGCATAGCTTTTATGCACTTCTAAACACCTGTCATCCAATGTATATTTAAATTGAAGATTGAGTACATATTGTTCTTTCTTTACACATCCATACATATCCCTTTTCAAACCTGGATTCAACGTTTTTGCTCTATTTCTGTGTAGCTGCTTTATAGATTGAGATGTTCAATCATGAAGGGAATGTTCTGTAATAAATCAATCAGCCTTGAAGCTTCCTTTGTTCCTTTTCTCTTTGGATCAGTTGAGGTATATGGGTCACCTTGAAAACTTCAAGGACATGTGAATGTTCTGCAAATACAATTTTCCCTGCATGATACTTCATTAACATCCTACCCAGCTTGGAGAGTTCTTTAAAACCTTGATATATATAGCAAGCATCAAGAAGACATTGGAGATGGCTGTACAAGATTGTGTCTCAACAGTCATTGATTAGATCAACTCCATTATGAGAGCTAAACCCAGATTTAGCTCCCCATAGGTGATGGAGCTGCACCACTGGGTGCCAAACTGAGAGCACTGCTCCTCCCAACCTTCCTGGAGCTGTATTGAAGCTACATTTACCTTTGATATAGCTCCTCATATGCTGCCTATCTTCAAGGGTAGTCCCTCACTGGTCTGTGGCACAAGGATTCTAGAACCAACAGGTGTTGAATTGCAATCTAGTCTAGGGAGCAGGGGCTAGACAGGAGAGAAGAGATGTCTCCATAAGTACAACAATACATGATAGGGTTCTGAGAAGGAAAGAAGGAGAAGTGAAAGAGAAGAGAAGGAGAAAGGAGAAGCACCTTGACAGGAGAGAAGAGATCTCTGCCGTCTAGGTGAGGAAAGGGAGATGCACCTGTGACACCCCTGTGAACCCCACAAGGAGGGGGGGTTACACTATCACAAACAATTCTGGTGATTGACAGCATCAACCTTTCACAACCCCTCCCCCCCTGGCTTTCTTTATGATTATTTTGTCTCCTTTTTGACTTTTGATCTCAGTACAGTTGATCTTTCCCCATCACCATCTTGAATGCCCTAGAACACCAAATAAAGAAGCATCCAATTATCAGGAGCATGAATAGGTCCATCTCTGCAAATTGTAGTTTGTCGTATCAGAACACCCACCAATTGGAACACATCAAGACAGATCCAAATTTTGGGGACATGTCACTGAGCACTGCCTCAAGGTGATCCCAACCCCTACATGCACTGGCAAAATCTTGAAAAGCTGTGGGACAACTACAGAAGGGAATCAACAAATTTTGGGGCTTTATTTACTAAGCCAAACAATACCCCTAAAGCTGAGCTTCAGTGAAGAAAAAATTGAATTGTGCACTTTGCTTGTACTCCAAAAAAACCAACAAACAAGCTTCAAGTTCCTCCACAGCTACAACATATATATTTGAAAATTATGAAGTGGAACACATATATCTCAACTAAGAACAAGAAAAAAAAAATGCTGGCACAGCAAAAAATGGCAATGATTTCCCAGACCATTATCAGAATGCATAGCACTAAAGGTTTCCATCATCTTCCATAAAAAGAAGATCCCCAAGATATTATCAATGGTGGGCCAGCTAAACTAGCAGTAGCATTATTGTAGTGTAGTGTTAGCTTATTAAGCTGCACTACTATGAAGCTACAGCTAGAGTCAATTTTTGACAACTAACACTACATGATTTTCAAAAAAACAAAAACAAATTTGCAGCATTAGTTGATCCCCCCAAAGTACAACTAACACTAACCATATTTCCATTTAGAAATGTTGTAGTGGTGTTAGGGATCTAAAAAGCACAGAATAAATTTCACTAAAACTAGTAAAAAAATTGGATGTTCACTCTTTTTTATTTTATTTTTATTTTTTCTTTGTTTTTTTCCTTTTTCCATTTTTTTCATTTATTTATTTTTTCTCTTTTTTTCAGCTGTAGTGTAGTAGAGAGCTGATATCTATGATCAAAATTTCTCTCATTATTATAGCTGGAGTCATAATTTGATCTTCCTGAGGTGAAATGTCAGCCCTAGAGATACTCCAGAGTATCCAAAAGCCTGCATTATAGTATTGTATCTCCTTTAATATTAAGAAATCATGTAATATTATTCCAGAAATGGATTTCGCATGTAATTTTACATAGGGTTACCCACTGGGCCTTTCAAATTCATACTCCTTATGTTACTTTGTCATGTCACAACTCAAAGTACCATAAGTATTATTAAAATAATCATTGTTGTGGACTGTGCAGCAAATAAGTACATAAAATATGCATATAACTTATGTACATAAAATGATGAAATATGTACATAAATAGGCATTGAATATAGTCCAAATCTTATTTATACAATGAGAGAGGAGACTTCTGCTGGATTTGAATCATAAGACAATCCCAATTGTATACAATTACATTGTAGTACAATTTAAATAGTAATATAATTGAAATTGGTGCAAAATGAGAAAGTTCCACATGTACAGTCTGTGAGAACTTATTCCAATTCATTCTATTCAAACTAGTTGACACAT